GCTACCATTTGCACGGACCATAGAAGATTGGAAAAATGTTGCCTGGTCTGATGAGTCTCAATTTCTGCTGTGACATCATCTCAAACTGGTTCCTAGAACATGCCAATGAGCTCACTTTACTCTAATGGCCTCCACAGTCACCAGAACTAAATCCAATAGAGCACCCTGGGGATGTGGTGGAACGAGGGATTTGCATCATGGATGTGCAGCGGACAAATCTGCAGCAACTGCGTGATGCCATCATGTCAATATGGACCAACATCTCTGAGGAATGTTTCCAGCATCTTGGTGAGTCTATGACATGAAGAATTAAGGCAGTTCTGAAGGCAAAAGGGGGTCCAACCTGGTACTAGCAAGGTGTACCTAATAACGTGAGTGTATATTAATATATATATATATATATATACACACACATACATACATACATAGAGTGAGATGTTAATCACTTTAATGTAAAGGCAGTTTAGAAGTCAAGTATACTGTGTATTGCTAATATGAGTCGCAAAACTATAAAGTAAACAAGTAAAAAGGACAACGTTAAAAAAGGTAGTGAAGTAGAAATATAAAGTATCATATTATGAAAATGCTCAAGGGAAAGTACAAGTTTTTCAAAATTGCAATTCAGTACAGAATTACAGATTGCATCCAATTGGTTACAATGTACACAATTGTTACCTGATACTTCTGTAAAAGAGTATTTTTATTTATTTTTAAAAAACTAAACATTGTCCAAAAAATGGCAAGTGTATACAATATGGGAAAACTACCTATTGTCTTTGAGTAGACGACAACAATCACCCTGCAGCATCCTGACAGTGAAAACACAACAGGCTTCAATGCAGAAGTTTCCAGTGGAGCTCAATAAACTGCAACAGCACTGAGAGACACAGAACAGCAGCCAGACAGAAAACAAAGAGCTTCCGCAACGCAACAGGAAGCAGCCCTGACCTGAAGCATGGCTGCCCTGTAAACACAAACATATTTACACAACTTGGACTGCCCAAGACAGGAGGAAATCTGTCAGACTGACCCTGTGGCCCCCAGACGAGACATATTTACATACATGTACTGTATAATCTGCACAGGTGCCAGGGCATAATCCCTGAATGAACAGGACACAATCCCCTTCTGAATTAGCCACACACACACACACACACACACACACACACACACACACACACACACACACACACACACACACACACACACACACACACACACACACACACACACACACACACACCACACACACACACACACACACACACACACACACACACACACACACACACACACACACACACACACACACACACACACACACACGTTTGTTTTGGTCCCTGTAAAGCCAAGTTGCTCACTTCAGTTCATCTGTCAGCCCATGGTCTTATTTGTGTTAACTTTGTATGGTCTTACTTTATCATTTACTGTATGCTTCTTTGAACATTATAGCTGAAAAAACGTTTAAAGATTCCTTGAATCCTACAAAACATTTTCCTGACACGAGAATTCGTGATTCTTTTGTTACAGGCTTCCTCGTCACATGGTAGACCACCAGCACTACATTTGGGATTTCAACGATGTTTTCTTTATTGGGGTAAATCAAAAGAGTATTTTAGGGGTAATGTAAGTCGAGTCGACAGTAACACAGCAGGAACAGCTGATTTACAAACTGAGCGAGGTGAAAACAAAGAGCACACTGCGTGTCTGGTAACCATTAACAGGAAGAAGTGTCCAGACAAAGACTCGCTCAACACACCACTCTATCTACCCCTCAGAAAACAGCACATTTATCCCGACATGTAATTATACCAACATTATTATATTCCATATAAGTTAATTATTTCACGGCAGGCTCGTGCAGCCCCCCCTTTTCTAAAATGTGTTTATCCCCAACAAAGAGCAGCATCGCGAGCTCTAGTGCAACAGTGTCTGTGAATCCAGCACGACACCAGAACCAGGCTTTGCGGTAGACATGAACCTGATGCGGTACTCACCACCTGGGTCGGTTCGGAGCAGAAAGCAGCTGAGTGGAAAACTGCTTGCCGAAGAAAGACAGAGGTTTTTTTTCAGTTTGTTGTTTTTTTTTTAAGTTGAATAAATAATTGTCGCCTTCCCGGGCTGTGGTCCATGTGTGATGCTGCCAGATGGGAACTTATTGTTGTGTCCTTTAGGTGCTGACGGATCTCATTTTTCACAAAACGGGCTTTTGTTGTGTCTTTTGTGTGCGTAATGGACTGGCTCGTTACTTTGGTAAGAAAACGTCACCACGTGGGAGGGAGATGGAGCTTTGACTGACAGACAGGGCTGACCAATGGGTGGTTGCGCAGCCTTCAGGCTCCCGTGGGAAAGATGGGAACCAGGAAGAGATTAGCATTTAGGTGGTAATACATGTTTTTAGTCTTTTGTTTTTTTGTCTGGAGTTAATCTAATGTTGTATTAGGAATGAATATCATATTGAATGTGTTTTTAAGCATTTTCAACTTAGTGCAAATCTTCTATTAAAATGTATTGCAACTTCCTAACATATGTAGGTCTACACAAACATTGCTTTATTACAATAACAATGTAATTTATATATGTGTATCGTGTGTGTAGTGTGAATGAGCTAGAGCTTATATTTCATTGGGTTGTAAAATTACAAATAAATACACCTTGAACTTTATTTGTGTGTTTATCTGTGACATTATTTTCGTGTCAATACAGTTAGTTACTATGTATGTAGCTGGTGTAGGCTATGTTGTTTTCATGATGTAGCCTACCTTTTATTGTTTTTGACTATTTCTAGCCTATTCTATAAAGTGTTGGTTATGACATATGTAGCCTATCGTTATTTAGTTATTAAGGTTAATAAAGGTTATTATTTTCCATGAAAACGTTTTTAGTTGAGGGACGGACTGGCCATTGGGAATACCGGGAGTTTCCCCGGTGGGCCGGTACCGATGTGGTCCGGTCGGACAATTCACTAGCACCCCCCTTGACAATTGACTAGCGGTACCGAGTTGGGCCGGTCGAGTTTCCCGGGCTGATTTTTAGTCCCAGTCCGCCCCAAGATACTATATTTTGGATGTTTAAGAAGCATTAGGTAGTTGACACCAATGTTTACTGCTTTAAAACATTTAGTCAAAAGCATCACATGCTAAGTGTTGATGTGTCAGAGGGATTCACTCAACTAAATCATTAAAATGTTGGGTCAAAAGCATTGCACGTTTTTATTATTATGATTTGACATAGCTGAAGTGCATATTTCCCATGCGGCATGAACGTGACTAACCGAGAGGAGGAGGGAGTGCGAAGCTACCCGGATGTGTAAATAAATACAAGATTAGAATATAAATCCGACTTCTTTCTCTATAGAAAAACATACCATGGTGGTTTGTAATGGTCAGGGTCCACCTAAAGCTCTTTGTATTATGTATGGGAAAGCCACCTTTTGTTTATTTACGTTTTTGGCACGTTTTTCACTTAAATGAGCAATTGCTATTTCTGTATTAATCCCACTGTGGATTGATCAAGTAGCAGAGTGGGCTCACATCTTTCAACAGATGGGATCCTGCCATGTTTTATAAGGATGTCAAAAATTGAAAAACATGCAAACTGAACACACACACACACACACACACACACACACACACACACACACACACACACACACACACACACACACACACACACACACACACACACACACACACACACACACACACACACACACACACACACACACACACACACACACACACACACACACACACACACACACACACACACACACACACACACACACACACACACACACACACACACACTACAGGTTAAGTTTAGAAATAGATCAATAGATGCCTCTGCCAGGCTATATATTTAGACCATTGAGACATAGCTGACGCTCTCATTTTTCGTTTACAATTTGAAGAACAAAACAGCAGCCTGGCACACACAACAACACCACCTCCTCCTCCTCCTCCTGCTGCACTGTTTGTCTCAGTACTGCATCATCCTGACATTGAACAGATCCATATCTGAAATAATGCCTAAATGCTTTAAGAATGACATTAAACGAATAAAATAACTCAAATTAAACACCAATCCGGTTCTTTTCTCCCTAACAGAAGCCTGCCCTCGTCCTTGCTGTCCTGGCGGCGAGCACGCGCTTCCGCTTCGAGACTACAGCCATAACTCATCATTGACTCTTATTCATTTCTTACTGCCATTAATGAATAATATGTTGACTATTGTGTTGCAATACTCCCCAAAAGAGTTGCTTCACCATATGGACGCATGTAAACAACATGGCACACTGCAGCTTCCCTCATGGTGCGCGCATGAGCGTTATGAAATCCATCCCTTTGACTGTGTTTTTGTCGCCTGTTCACGTGGCATCATAAGCCCCCCCAAAACTGACCGAGATCTGCATCCAGGGATATGATGATGGGGATAATAGCCCGAAATCATCATCCGCTGCAAGGAGAAGCACATCGGTGTTTTCATTGCTCTTGAATGTAGCGCAACTCGAGGATCAAATTGCAAAACGTGTCTCATTAAATAAAAGAGACATTGGCAGTATAATAAAGTGGGTTATTTTAGACCCACCGTTTTAAATCATGCTGAACTGTCATCCTAGAGGAGCAGGAATACATAAGAAAAAACGACAAAAATACCACTCTTAGAGTTTACAGAGAGTATTGTGCAAATGTGATTGTTACCAGAATGTTAAAATGGTTTTCCTGCAGTGAATAGTTGATTAGCCCTACATGTACATGCATCACAACAACACACAAGAAACCTAATCCTGCGATTAATGTAAGCTGTACAACACAAATACATAAACAGCAGGCTATAAATCCCCTTGTGCAACAGGAAACAAACATACAAAACAGATAGAAAGTCACTTCCAATAGACACAGTTTAAAGTGTCTGATGTGATATAACAGCAGGTATTACAGTCATTATTGTGACAAACGCACGCGTCTCCTCGAGCAGGTCACTGGCGCGGCACTCACCCCCAAAACACTTCTCCTTCCCCCTCTTGGAAACCAAAACAACCCGGTGAAGGAGTCGCTTCCTCCGCTGGAGCTGCAGGATATTATTACAAAACATGTAAAAATGATAATGACACCTTCACGGTCACATATAGCTATTGGGAGTCTGTGTAGTTTGCGCAACGTGCCAGTAAAAAGTCTGCAAAAACATCGATGGATCTTCACTGCGCTCTTGTGCCAAATAGTTTTGCGTAGAACCGTGAACAACTCGGGATTTCTCTGTAGGTCCGGTTCGAGTATAGTCCCATCCGTGAGGCGGGTCAGAGTGTGTGCATGTTGGAGCAGCTTGCAGCTCTTTGAAGGGGTTTAACCTCTATAGCTTCTCCGACATCAGCGGCAGGACAGGCCGAGCTGTCCCGTCTGCGGCCTTATTTATACTGAAATCCTAATCAGCTCCGTGATGCGCAGCGCGCTCTGAATAATGCAGACACACATTCACGACACCGGATATTTCAAAGAAGACTGTCTGCTCGGGTTTAAAGTGTTTATACTAGGATGGGGATTCATTGGGTGTGCTGGTTTCTGTCTAAAACAAATATCTAAAGTGCAGAATAAGGGCTGTTTCATTTCTTCTACCGGTGCTGCGTTTACGTGCTGCGGGACATAGGAGAGTTTGGAATGGAGCGCACAAAACAACAAATGGAACATGTCTGTCTGAACCATAGGTCTGAACATATCCAACATAAGAATCACCCCAAAGCACATTTGGGTTGTAGCCATTCATCACCACATCACAGGAATTCAACGAAAATAAAAATCAGCAACGCACTTAAAAATATGGTTTTAAAAAACGTCAGAATTCCTGTTGGTAGGCCTACCAACAACAAGGGAACATTCTAGGCCTACCTGTTGATGAGGGCTTTAACACATCTGGGTTTCTCTCATAGTGGATGGAGTAGATCCTTTTTCATTGGGATATTTTAGTTGTAGTCAAGTCTGGGTTATAGGCCTAAATACGAATCAACTAATCAGCCAAAGTAGATTACAGTTTGGAGTATGATTTAATTAGATATTAATAGTGTTAACTGTACACGTATATTTCAGGCTTAAAGGGGGGTTTGTAAACTTTCGAATATACTTTGTCACCAATAGGCCTACGTGGATATTTCATGTTTTTTTGTTATAACGATATAGGAGAAATCATGTAGGCCTATGCCATGTCAACAGCTGATAACCTGTTAAAAAGTCAATCTTCCCCCCTTATTATCGTGTGCTTCAGTATTCAACTTTTACTCATCGTGTATTTTATAGCCTCTTAAAGGTTAAACACTCCGGCTGCTGGGTGACTTTCAGCTGTTACTTCCGACCAAACAACTGAAAGCACGTCTTCATCTCTAACATATCTTATCTTTGTAGAGGTACTTGAAGGCATCAGCAGCCTAGCTACACAGCCGCTTCTACAAATAGCCACCAATCAGCGAGAGGGAGAATCTCGAGTCCGGCCCGATTCCAAACCTCTCAGCGAAGTGAGCAGAACACAACTCCAGTCATATTTAGTGGCGTTTCTTTTTTGTAGAACCTCTTCTAGTTTTCAAATATGAGATCCTTGGTTTTTGCAATCGGACTAATCCGTTGAGATTGAGGGCGGGGCTACACACCCACAGCCAATCAACGCAAGGCCAGACGCTCGACAGCGCGCTGGCGTGGCTAGTTTTGTTTTGGTTGTGCACGCCACTGATACGCGTGACAAAAGCCAGTTTCCCACAGCGCGCATGCGTGGCCGCATTAAAAGCACGTGGTCAAGAAGGGCAAGTAAACAAACCCCTTAAATCAATACAGTTGATTCTTTTTAAATATACATTTGTACTGTAGATGTATGATACATAATTGTCAGGGTTACAATCTTATTTTCAGAATAGCCTACTGCTCACAAATATATTATTATTTAATCTTGATTGCATTTCCTTAACTTTCTTATTTAACTGTATTTATTTTTTGTTTTTTATACAGCGTTTGTAAAGCAAATGGCACACATTGGTATTCATGTTTGTAGATTTAGCAGGTTAATTATTTGCTATTCTTTTTTAAAGACAGAGGATTACCCAACTGTGTCAACAATTTATTGAAAACTGAACCTTTTAATGTTTTGCAGGCAACATAAATTGAATGACATTATTTTATGAATCACACTGCTGAATGGACAAAGGACAGACTGCAGTAGATGTTATAGCTGGTACAACAGCGCCCCCTAGAGGACACTGTGGCATTCCACTACATCACACGTGAGTGAGATAGTAACATCTTAATTAACATTAAGGCTTGTTGTGCCATAGAGACACTATTATCTATACTACTATTTTCATATTTTGTTGCCAAAAGATAGATTATTAATTAAGAAGCATGCATCAAATATGAAAGATAAAAGTAGAAGTTCCAATAATTCATAATTCTTAGGGCTAGGGTTACTTGAAATTGAATTTACAGTTTTTCTCGATTGCTAACACACTAAAATGATACATAAAGCACAATTATTTTAACTGACACTCAAAGAGCAAAACATCGGCTCAAATCTCCAAAACTCTAAACACGTTTTCAGCTTTTCACACAATTTGCAAATCAACATGGCACTTTTTGCAAACCACTGCACACGTTTCTCCACGTGAGACACAGGCATCCAACATAAAGTCACGTGTTAGCAGGTTTAAAACACTGATATTCCAAATGCCTCACACATGGACCAATGATCAAGAAACACGTTCCATCTGACCAAACACCTGATAGCATAATTGTTGGCTCATCAATCAGGATGTTAGCACTATAAAAAGACCACAGGTGAATACTTTCTTACAGCAACAATGGAAGCCAACATGGAAGCAAGAGGAAGAGGAAGAGCAAGAGGAAGAGGAAGAGGAAGAGCTGGGCTGAGAGTGATATATCATGAATTATGCAGAGCTACAAACTGGTAACTAACCTGTTTTCAAGTCTAAGTGTCCGGATTACAGAGGCGACAGTAAATCGGCTTAGATTAGGCTGAACCCTCTGTCCAGCCTCTCATCGTCACACCATGGTTGATAACATTTCATTTCATTAGAGAGTATTCTTCTTTGTCCACGTCCTCTCCCTCCAGCTCTACCTCTCATTCTTCCTCCTCCTCTCACTCTCAGCCCAGCTCTTCTTCCTCTAACTCTCACCCCACCTCTTCCTCTTCCTCTTCCTCTTCCTCTTCCTCTTCCTCTTCCTCTTCCTCTTCCTCTTCCTCTTGCTCTTGCTCTTGCTCTTGCTCTTGCTCTTGCTCTTGCTCTTGCTCTTGCTCTTGCTCTTGCTCTTGCTCTTGCTCTTGCTCTTGCTCTTGCTCTTGCTCTTGCTCTTGCTCTTGCTCTTGCTCTTGCTCTTGCTCTTGCTCTTGCTTCCATATTGTTGCTGTAAGAAAGTATTCACCTGTGGTCTTTTTATAGTGCTAACATCCTGATTGATGAGCCAACAATTATGCTATCAGGTGTTTGGTCAGATGGAACGTGTTTCTTGATCATTGGTCCATGTGTGAGGCATTTGAAATATCAGTATTTTAAACCTGCTAACACGTGACTTTATGTTGGATGCCTGTGTCTCACGTGGAGAAACGTGTGCAGTGGGTAGAAAAAAGTGCCATGTTGATTTGCAAATTGTGTGAAAAGCTGAAAACGTGTTTAGAGTTTTGGAGATTTGAGCCGATGTTTTGCTCTTTGAGTGTCAGTTAAAATAATTGTGCTTTATGTAGAATTTTAGTGTGTTAGCAATCGAGAAAAACTGTAAATAGATACACAATTAAAATCCTTAAATGATTGAAATTGCATCATTACATGACAGCGATGATTCATGGCTTCTAAAAACTCTACTCAACTGGGAGGAGCCACATTTTTATGGGGAGTAGACTTTAATACTGAGATGAATGGTATATTTGGCTACGCAGACTCTATATGCATTACATTAATGCACACAATGTTTAAATATTGCTTACTGCACATATTTTATATTCTATAATTGATTGCATTCTATTTCGATGTAAATTACTGCTTTATTTTATTGCTATCTTACTATATTTGTATTACAGTGCTTAATATAGTTCACTATCTGTGTACTTTTTAAAATGTTTGTTTTAAATTTGTATGTATGCACCATGACATCAAGTCAAATTCCTCGTACGTGTGAACCTACCTGGCAATAAACCTGTTTCTGATTCTGATTGATATCTTGAGACTATAAGTTTAACAACAAAACATATATTTAGAGTAATAAGGATAGATCTGAGCAGTATCGCTTACACTTCTGGAAAAAAGTGGTTAGAACACCAGCACCAGCCTAAATATATTACCTGCATCTGTGGTGCATAAAGAAACTTGCAAACATCTCAAAGCATGGCAGTTCTTCGATGTGTAACAGTTTCCTTTGTAATCATGAGCTGTAAGAAGCTGTCCTCGCCGCATTCATAAACATGAACCCAAATCAATTATGTTTTTGAAGTTGTGTGCGTTTGGTAGGCTTGCTCTTTATGGTTAAAAATATTACTTTTGGCAAGCAATGGTGTTTGTTTTGTTTCTCACAAGACGAACAGTATTATTTTAAAACCATGATGAAATTGATTATGTGCAAATATATTTGTTGTCACTGTTTACAAGTATTCCCAAGCTTTTCCTCTCAAGGAATTGACTATATAAAGGATCACATTGTTGAGCGGTCATATCTGTTTGTTGTACTCTCTTTTGCCAACAGCACGCTTTGTGTGCACATGAAAAATGTTACTTTAAAGGTCCTCTATTATACTTTTTTTCAACAAATATTATAGGCCTCAGTTATATACAAAACATGTCTCTGAAGTGTTTGGCTCGAAATACCAAACAGATCATGCATTGTAGCGTCCCATAATTCCCTCTGTTTCAGCCCTGTTTCTAAAGTGCTGATTCTGTATCTCACTTCGGTTAAATGAAATCCTTGCATCCCTCACTTGCGTCGTTTCCCTGCGACTAGTCCCTCCCACCAGGGAAGCATGGAGAGACGCAAGGGCCCTGTCTCAGGTCGACTATTTTCATTTCCTCGCTCCTCGGTCCTCGGTCTCACCGGAAGTTGATTTGTCTGCGCCATCTTGATACCGTCCCATGGTGCTTATTTCTGCCGGAGGAGCGAGGAGCGATAATGGAGGAGCGATAACCGAGGAACCACCGATCCATCCTCCGATGAAATCCTCAGACACTCGCTCCGCCCCCTTACTGTGTATCACTGATTGGACGATGCAGTGCATGCACTGATCTCATGCTTCTTGACATGAGAGCAGTTTCCCAGCGGAGTGAAGAAAATACATGAACCTCACGGGACTCACTCCTCAGTTTATACCGTGTTTTGTTTCAATGAATGTTAATCTAACTGGGTTTTGATAGATAACATATCTCTTTTTCTTCTCTCAATTATTTGTATTTCTATTGTGCACTCTAATCAATATTAATCAAACTATTGTTCGTTACATTTTAAGAATGGCGTTTATCTTTTTTGTGAATGAGTTCTTATTTTATTTAATGTATTTGGGTCTACAACAGATGATACAAATGTTTGTCAGTAAATGTGTACTAACAGAGGCGGAGGTGTGTGTGGAAATAACGGGGACAGAGCTGCTGTCAGACGAACAGCTGTGCAGCGTCATCACAAACGGACATCGCTTCACGTGACGCTCCGGAGGAAAGGACGTCCCATTGCTCTTGAAACTCATTTCCCTGGGCCCTTCTCACTTCGGTTACATTGATTCCTTGCGTCCCTCACTTGCGTCGTTTCCCTGCGACTAGTCCCTCCCACAAGGGAAGCATGGAGTGATGCAAGGAAATCACGAGAAGCAGGGAAATTAGTTTTAAGAGCAATGGGACGTCCTTTCCTCCGGAGCGTCACGTGAAGCGACGTTCGATTCATTTAGCTCAGGTGAGCTAAAGGACTCTCTGAGTGTTTAGATAGTTAACTTTAGTTTAAGTTATCTCAGTGGGTCTCAAACGGTTTGGTCACAAATTATTTATTTCCGCGGCACACCTTCATATGATCATTATAGTTATAAAACAAATAAGAGAATAAAGCAAAAACAGGTATGAAATACTATATGGCAGTAAAACAAGAATACAGTTTGAAAGGGGAGTGATTTGTAAAATATCCATAAAGAAAAAGAACATCTGCTTACAGTTGTGTTTCATCTGGGTGTTGAGAGATGTATCCATAGATCTCTTAATGTTGCTCTCAATGTGCACCAGATTGATGCTTTCAACTTCAATATTTAAAAAAAATCTTCCCGGGGGAGCTTGCCCCCGGACCCCCCTAGAGGAGGTGAGGTCCTAGAGGAGGTGAGGACCCCCCTAGAGGAGGTGAGGTCCGCTCCCCACTCGTAAAAGATAGCACTTTACCCCTGCCTATATGCCGTGAGCTGATTATCGAGCCTTCATTGTAACAGTCGCGGGTGTACTGTGTGTTTGCGTGTGGGGAGTGCTTTTGTGCGTGCTCTATACAGTGCCCGTAATAGTGTTCACTGGAGTCCAGCACCTCAGCACCTCCACTCAAAATACCTTCCCGCGCCTCTGCGCAGACAAATCAACTTCCGGTGAGACCGAGACCGAGGAGCGAGGAAATGAAAAATAAGAGAGGTGAGAAGGGCCCCCTGCTTCTCGTGGTTTCCGTGCGTCTCTCCATGCTTCCCTGGTGGGAGGGACTACTAGTCACAGGGAAACGACGCAAGTGAGGGACGCAAGGAATCCATTTAACTGAAGTGAGAAGGGCCCCGGGTCACTACCGGAGGACCGAGGAGTCGAGGAGGGGAAATTTGAGTATTGAGAAACCTCTATTGTCTTTTTAGATGCTAAAGAGCTGCTGCTGGCCACGCCCTTCTGAATGATGATTGGTTAAAAAAACACTGGTGCTCTCTAGGAGGAGGAGATTCAGGTGATAAGGTGGTGGTGGGGGGGGGGGTTACCTTGGTTGGTTATTGGCTAATGGTTACACAACCAAAAAAACCTCGTCACATCACAAAGGGACAACATCTGATCAGCTCATTTTCAGACAGGTTTTTATATAAATGGATCGGGACAAAAAGAGAGAGAATCTTTTTTCCTGAAACTTTCAGAATCTCTTAACACAGAGGTTTATGTATAAAAGACAAAAGCGGATTTTGCATAAAAGGTGACCTCAAATAAACACTTTTCCAATTCTATACATAGCCCTCAAGAAACATAACTTTGTTTATGTTGTAATGCATGATTGTCTGCTTCCATTTTGAAATTATGTTTTTGGAATATAGTGTTTTATACTGATCCTCTATCTAAATGTCAATGTGCTAAAATCACAAACATTAAACGACAGGGTTTTCAAAGTGGCAGTCAGTCTTTAATAATAGCAAAGAAATGCTTCGTACAAGTCAGATCCTTCACACGACAGCAAAATAAAACTGACCGATCAATTCAAACATTGTCTATGGCAGGTCATAGAGGGACCTTTCAAATACAACCAAGGATCTTACTTTTTCTCTTTCAGAAATGTTAACTACACAATTAAAGGTTTATACTGATTTTCAAAACATACAGTGAAGAGGTTCTACTGGAGATAACTCAAACAAGATTAGTGTCTGATAGAAACATAACATTCATTTTACATTAAAAAAAATATCAGCACAAAACTCCCCCCCCCCCCCCCCCCCCCAAAAAAAGGAAAAAAAAGGGTAACACATAATAATTGAAATGTTTGCTTTTTAGCATTTTCAGTACAATCACAAATCTTTTAAAAAAAAATTACAAAACTGAAGAGAAGGATAACCCCCGCGACTCCTCCCACCCTCAGACTTGATTGTGTTCATTTTTAAGAGCGTATACTGCGATTACAAACGGATTCCCGACTGAACAAAGCTGCACATCAAATCTTGGATATCAAGACTACAAAAAAGGCACAAACGACAGGCTCACGAAGAACTCAGCAGAAGCTTTTTTACAACTAGTCCCAGTAAGGTTTCCAGTGCCCTTTATGTTCTAATTCAACCCCCCCCCCCAAAAAAGAATCTAAAAACAAAAGACTATCTACAGGCAAGTCAAGTCCCAGCAGGCACCTCGGATTAAAAGTCCCAATCCCAACTACTGTAGAAGTGCATGAATCATCCTGTGGCAGACGGTGTGTTCAGTGAGTGTACAGGGGAAGTTTGAGAGTGCCAAAACGGTCATTTCTGCAATGGAGTTTTTGTATTTTCTTTTATTACGTCTTCAGATTGGTTAAATCTGTCGATGGAAACACGTTTTTTGTTTGTGTGAGGAAGAGTAAACTGATATTTTTTTGTAATACTTAAGTTTGTATGAATGTTTCTGGTACACTTTATTTTTGCAGGTCTGTTGTGTCCTAATATTTTCTTCAAAGCTCCCTGTGTATTGTGCACTTATTATAGGACACAAAATACAAATAAAGTTATAGACAGTTTTTTTCAGATGAGTTTCATGTGGTTCAGAGGAATTTCCTCAACAGGATGTCATTTGTTAATAACTTTAAACTTACAAATATTGCACGATTTTGAATCTAACCTTCGTTCTGACCTTAAGAATTTAGGTTGTGGTATTGTCGCAATTGTGTGGACCAATTCAGACACTACAGGGATTCAAGCATCAGCTGATGACTTAATCTTTAAAGGTTCTGATCAAGGGTTTGGTATTTTAGGGTAAAATACGAACATTTGCAAGTTTTCATATCATCAAATTTACTTCATATCTCCATGTTTTCAACTGTTGGTGAGATAAAGAAAAAAACAATATCAGGAAAGATTATCTGAATTTTTTTTTTGACCAATCGTGTAATAAATAGTCGGATCGGCGGGTGGATAATAATAGTTTGTTGTAACTCTATTTAACCCTGTCTCCTATTTACGTGTAATTAGAGGCCATACTACATAGTTCTTTGCAGTACAAAGCTTTGTAACACATCTGTTATGTCAGCATGCGAGGCCATCTTGCTTTATGATCATTACAGATATCTGAAGTCTCACTTTCTTAACCTCTGAAAACCCCCTGGCTGCAGTGATGTAGAGGTGTACTCATACGGTGTGTCCGGTACAGTGTGACATCACTGCTGGATGTGGTCTGAAGACCAGTTATGGCTTGAGTGCATTTCAGCAGAGCCTCCACGCTAAGCCCCTTCCTTCAATTCAGTCTATTATTATTGAGCCAGAACAATTAAAAGAAAAAAACTGATTTATTTCAACACAGAGCAGCTCTGCCCTTAGAGAAATATGTGTATGACTCTAGAATGTATGAGACCTTTAATACTTCACAAAATGATATATGACAATGCTGAAGCAGAGCTAGTTATGAAATTGTCTTATTTTATAATTAACTCTAATTTCTTACTTTAAGTGCCAGCATTCCTGAAGAATCCTTTTAGTCGATTTGAACTTCAATCTACTTTGAGACGTTTTTAGTGTCGTGATTAATAGTTCTTTGTTTCATTCATTAAATCACTTACACAGCACTAAATGTGCTGCGTGCTGTAGCAGACAAAGGGCTAGGTGTACCATGAAACTAGTATATATGCTTGAGACGCACCTCTAAATGACGCTGCAGTGCTACTCAGATTAAATGACATGGTTGGTTGTTTTTCGCCACATATATTTAGACTTTGATCTTTGCTTAAAATAAAAATCTTATATTCAACAGTCTTTAATCAGCGGTAACTGACAAAACAGAAAAATGTGGCCTTGACTTCTGCTGTTTTTTTTGGCTGAAATGCGTTTGTCAGCAGTTACTGACCTGCCAACTGTTATCAGCCTGAACATGTGCAATTCAACGCAAACAAAAGTCACAACAGACTAAATGGGAAAACCCGATCTGTTATGTTTGAGTATTTTTTCAACTGTACCATGCCTGGATCCCATTTGTCCCGTTTGGGAAACTTGTTTTGTGGTTTTTGTGTGGTTGGCATAAGTACAGTAATATGGTTATTCTCCTATTTTTGCAACCACAAACAAGACACCTCAGCATGCAGGATGGAGTTTGGCTAGAAAACGAGGAGTCTATAACCTGTAAATGGAAGTTACATAAACACAGAAAATGCTAAAGCTAAAAAAGGATACAGGACAAAAAGCACCATGTGGATTGGAAAGTGTGACATACCACAAAAGGTGGAACAGAAAGAGCCGGGCGCTGTCCCCTTGGCTGGTGTGGCACTTAACATCGTTGTCTTTGTTTACAGAGCTTATAACAGTCATGCAAAGGGCACAGTATTATTCTAACAAGGCTTGCGAGAGAGGAATTAACAGAATGGAGACGAAGAGAAAAGAAAACATGTAACAGAAAGAAAGACGAGGCACAACAACATTTCCTCCAGACAAAAACAAGTTCTGTGATAAGTTCTGCGTTGTTGTCTGAGCGCGGAAAATGTTCTCCCATGTGAAAAACATCATACTGTACATACAGACTCGTATGATATAAACAGACATTTCCTTTAGGTTGCTCGTGGCTAAGGCAGAAATTGATGGTGAAAATCTTTCAATGCACTTGTAATATGTGCATTTATACACAACCCCTGAAATTGTATCAAAGCCAATGAGAAATGAAGATGGGCATTTTTTGTTCGTGTTTGATGAAAAAAAAAAAGAAAAGGAAACATTATTGGTTATAAATGCATCTGATTCACCTTCGATCCTCACTCTTAACTATCTTAAGACTCTTGGGCTATATATTTTATGTATATATATATTTGCCATTTGGGCCTAGTGAGTGTTGAGGATGAAATAGGTCTTTATTAAAATATAGATCCTCATCAACACCAAGTCATGGCTTTTGGCCTGTTTAAGTCGCTGATTATGTTATTTCATTGCATAAATCAGTTGATTTAATTCAGCAAAAAGATAAAGAGGGTCAAAGATAGAGATCAAATGTATCCCTTTAAACAAAGGTTAGAAAATTCAAAAGACCCCTTTTTTATGCTGAATGATTCTTATAAGTGATATACTGTTTGTTCTTGCAATGAACGCAGAGTGACCATCAGGACAGTCGCACCAAATAAACACAAACAGCTTGTGTATCACGCTCATTCCACTGGACATAAAAGGTCTTGGAAAGGTATAGCCAGAGCCAACACCCTTGAGACAACACAAAAACAATTGTTATCTTGGCTTAAACACAAATCACCCCCAAAACTGTAAGCCGTGATGTAAACCTCAACAGTGTCCTCTCACCCCAAAGACAAAGACAGAGACAGAGACAGAGAGAGAGAGAGAGAAGGAGAGAAGAGAATGATTGATTGGTTGATTCCTGACGCCATTCCTGAGCAGAGTGGGACTTGACGAGTGAGACCCAAGGGGGGTGGGTGATGTGGACGACAGGAGAGGAAAATAAAACCCAGAAAAAAAATAAACCATCACAGCAACAGTGTGGAGGTAGGAGGTGGCCACGCAGGAGCCAGTGCCAGAAAACAGTCTGGGAGGAGAAAAAAACGGTTAGATTGTTAACGGAAATTATTATACGGCTTAGTTCAATACTCAATTCTGATTGTTCACATTAGACATTCAGCAGTCTGGCTCTTTTTGGACAGAAGACCACTGCCTAGGACATCTGATAAAGGGGCCATGTGCAGTCATATCAATCCACAGAAAAAAGTCCGGATTGAATGTCAGCGATGGCAAAATAAACTCCATGATCAGGACAGCCTGTGGAATATCTTTTGAATATTGATTTTGATACTTTGGATACAAGATGGATAAACTGCCCCCAGTAAGAAAAGAAAAAGAGAGGAGGAACAAGATAACAGTTGAAAGGGAAGGAAAGAAGTGATATGACTTAGAGAGCTGTAGGACAGAGAACTCCACAGAGGAAGACAGACAGGAATCAAACAGTAAAGGGAACATGGTATGGGCTCTGGAAAAAAAGTGAACATGAAAGTTTGGGAGCAGAAAACCTCGATCAGTGCTGGCGTCACTTTAAGTTATGTTTTGTTTTAGGGGAAGCAATACGGTCATTTATAAATCAAAATGTACTAAGTAGCAGCGTAATAAGCGGAAGCAAAGCATGAGAGAACATTATTAAAAATATACATTTCCCATCTGGTATTTGTGTTTCCAATTGTGTTTATTTTAAATGGTTGCAATAGCATTTGCTGGTGTTGTTTCATCTGAAAATGCACTATGTATTGCCTCTGCGTATTAAATATGATACTGGGCCTTGCTTCTGAACCTTTTAGAGTCGCAACCTTCAACTATGAAGTAGGTGTTCTTGCCAGCAAGAATATTCCATTTCTTTAATAAACCATTAACAGGTATTTTATATTTGAAATAAATGTCAAATCACCTTCTGCTTCTACTTTGATCCCATTAAGGGGCAATGTAATAGTTCAGCATTTGAGATACAAGAACATATTACAGATACTGACATAAGAGCATTGGGTTTGAAAATACATTTTAAAGTTGCACAAACAATCAAACTGTTGCCTTTGCAGAGCAGCTTTGTGCTGCTCTAATTAAGGAGATGTCACACTCTATTGCTTTTCAGTAGACTTTTGTTATGCATCGAATTGCTGCACAGGAAACACAGTAATTACATACGCTGACACACGGTGAATGATATGCTGTAAAAGGCAGCAAGGACGGTTATTATCACAAAAAGAGGCCCGTCAGGGAGCAGCTGGTGGTTAGCAGAGAATGGGTGGGCATCTCCTATCGCTTTTGCTCAAGTGACATTTTATTTTAAAATACTTTTACCTTTTTTTTTTTACATTAAAAAAAGCCACAATGCATGGTAATATAGCTACATTGGAACATTTTTCATATTTTTGCGAGTGCAGATTAAATGCCATAAACATCTCTGAGGCTTCCGAATCAATTCTCCATCATTTTTGTTTCCTTAAAATGGTCCATAGTTACCTGAGGGTTATTAAATTTCTGACTCCAAAAAACAAATTAGACTGAAATTGAACTGAATTAGAAGCAGAAAAACATCTATTATACTTAATGGTGTACTTTTAAAGTGCCTTTATCTTCATGAAAACTTACATTTTACACTTTATAAAAGCAACATTTAAATCTATATTATACTGTGATGCAAGATCCTCACTTTAGCACTTGAGTGTTGAGTTGTAAAATGAAACACATATTAAAACAGTAGTTGTTAAAGCTGTAACACCACTCACCTGCAGTATTAGTGTTTCAAATAGTTCTCCTGATGGACCCTCAACTGTGCTACCTTTTTGAAGCAGAGGCGAGGACTGTCACACTTTTAAAAGTTGAATGTTTCAAGACTTTAATGTAGCTAATTGCAATTGTGTAATGCACCTGTAGTTTTACACACTGCCCCTCTCTCTTTATGTACGTGTTCAGGTTATAAACTTGATTGCATGGGATGTAGACTCACCTGTTTGAGATGTTAGGACCTAAATGCGAGCTGGAAACGTGCAGTTTCTTGAAAGATGAGATCCTTCAGTGTCTCTTTGGGTAGGTCATCCAGCTCCATGTCAAACTTGAATGGGGCCTCGGCAACAGGCTACACAGGGAGTTGGAGAGGACAGGGTGATACAGACGCCAACAAACTTACATTGTGGTAAACACAAGATTAAGTGTCCTCATTCCGATAGTCCTATATAGCACAAACTGACGACTTTCTCACCTCATCTGTTGGGTCGTAATACTGCTCCAGGTAAGGGTGCGCCAGGGCCTCCTCCACCTCGATCCTCTTGTGAGGGTTAAAGGTCAACATCTTGTCCAACAGGTCCAGAGCTGCAGCACAAAGAGGAGAACGCTTGATTCAGTTCTCCTGGTGGAGAGCTTTGTAGGGTTGTGTAAAAACAGGCACCTCCAGATCAACATTAGCAAGACCAAAGAGCCAGTGGTGGAACACTAGGGGAGCAGGAAGAGGCCCCTAAACCTCGGACACTCCTGTGACCAAGGCGCCACAAACAACAAAGGCTTGACCCCCATATAAAAAAAATCACTTTTCCCCTCTGGTATTAATAAAGGTTTATCTCATCTGAAACATCAATGCTAGCCCACTAGAGGGCACCATTAAGCGCTAAATGGTTATCATATTATTACCAAGTATATAACTAAGAGACTTACTTTCACTCATTTACAAAGTATAGCTATTTTAACTAAATTCTGAGCTTCCTGAGAGTTTATTTCTTCAGCTTCTGCATGTTTAAAATCTCAATAATCTTCATATATTGTAGTTTTGTACCTTGAAACCACAATCAATGCCTCTAGTTTCCCATCTCCAAACGTTGCCACTTGTTTTGCCAGACTGCTGTGCTAGTAGTGGGTAAATATTCTTTTCTTAATTACAATTCTAGTAATTCCATGATCAGAGGCAACGTTTTAAGCAATTACAAGTTTGCCCTGGCTCTCACCTTTGGGATCAGCGTTGGGGAAGAGGCGGTTCCACGGCACTTTGCAGCGTAAAGGCAGCGACAAAAGATAGTTCCTGGCCTTAATGTTGATGATGCAGTTGAGATCCTCCTGAGAGGGAGAGCCCAGGATTCCTGAAGAACAAAGAAGATTTAGAAAATAACTCTTTGTTTCAGTTCACAAATCTCAGTTAAACTGCTACATTAAAACAGCCCTTGCTTAAAGTTTTGAGTACTTAATAGTCTGAAGGAAACACAAAAGGACAGATGGGACAAGCAATATGTGGTCTAGCACCAAAAAGTACAGCTAAATTATTGAATATTAACAGCTACAAAATCTATGGAGTGGCACCCGGAAGCTATTGGTAACTAAGTGTGAACTATTCAGACTAGGGCTGCTAATTCAGGTTTTTTTCCCCTGACCAATAGCCAAGCATCGTTAACCTAAAATGTACTGACAATATTAGGGCTAAAATGATAACCCAGAGAAGTTCTGCTGGGTTCGTAGACATTTTAAAACAACAACGTTGAAACACTTGTCCTAAAAACACTGAAAATAAAAACAATAATTACCCAAAATATGGTTGAGCTGATCCAAGTAGTGCTTCCCAGGAAAGATTGGCCTGTTGGACAACATCTCGGCCAGAATGCAGCCCACTGACCAGATGTCTATGGACTTAGTGTAGCCCTGAGAGTGAGAGAAAAATGTAATGACTAACATATATTTAAAGTTAAAATAGCATTTATTGGTGGACTGTAAAATATGCCAGATTTAGCCATGAAGGCTAATTTCAAATCTGCAGTCCCTTGGAGGCTCATTGCATTAAAATAAAACATACAGAGAGCACATAAGCACAGACAGAATGACATTAATGTAATCCTATAAGCACAATTGAAGCATGATTGCAGCACATGACAGCATGTTTTATAGGGCTGTGCATTTACTGGTCTCATGATTCGATTCGATTACGATTATCCTGTCAACGATTCGATATCCCGATGCATCATGATGCATCACGATTCATACCAATGCGTTGCATCCTCAATTTTCTATATTACTGCACATGGCTTATTTTTCATCAATGCATACATGCAGTAAATACATATGAACTCTCTTTTTATTATTTAGAAAGTGCTTCAGAAATCAATAACATAAATGTCTTGACATTAATTTATAAACCAAAAATAAATCAATTGTATAGCTCTAGCATCCCTCTATCTGTGTGTGAAATTGTTCCATCCTCAAAAACAAAAAACGAATGCTTCTGCAGTCTAGCTGCAGCTTCTAGCAACGGTCTTCTGTTAAAAAAAGGACACTGAATGTCCTGAATGTGGCATCACAAACATGACTTGAGTCTGAACACAGCAGACAACAGGAGCATTTACAACAGCATATACAAACTCAAATACTGCATGTGGGTGCACACTTACATTCTCTGTCTTACTGTTACATAAATCCCATGATTGCAAGGCAAGGCAAGTTTATTTATATAGCACCTTTCAACACAAGGCAATTCAAAATGCTTTACAAAAAATGAAAGACATTAAGAAAATGGCAATGTCATTAAAAAGAAAAAAAATAAACATTAAAAGAAAAAATACATGGATAAAAGTTACAGTGCAGTTTAAGATGTGAATAGTTCAATTAAAAGCAGCGACAAAAAGAAAAGTCTTCAGCCTGGATTTAAAGTAGTCAGAGTTGTAGCGGACCTGCAGGTTTCTGGGAGTTTGTTCCAGATATTTGGAGCATAATAACTGAACGCTGCTTCTCCATGTTTAGTTCTGACTCTGGGGACAGAAAGCTGACCAGTCCCTGAAGACCTGAGAGATCTGGATGTTCATAATTTAGCAGGAGGTCAGAAACTTATTTTGGGCCTAAACCATTCAAAGCTTTATAAACCAGCAGCATTATTTTGAAATCAATTCTTTGACACACAGGAAGCCAGTGTAAAGACTTCAGAACTCGAGTGATGTGATCCACTTTCTTAGTGTTAGTGAGGATTCGAGCAGCGGCGTTCTGAATTAGCTGCAGCTTTCTAATAAATGTTTTAGTGAGACCTGTGAAAACACCATTACAGTAGTCCAGTCTACTGAAGATAAAAGCATGGACAAGTTTTTCCAAATCCTGCTGTGACATTAGTCTTTTAATCCTAGATATGTTCTTTAGGTGATAGTAGGCTGATTTAGTAACTGTTTTAATGTGACTGTTGAAACTCAGGTCAGAGTCCATGACTACACCTAGATTTCTGGCTTCATCTGTTGTTTTGAACATTGCAGGCTGAAGCTCAGTGCTAACTTTTAAACGTTCTGCCTTGGCTCCAAAAACCATTACCTCAGTTTTATCTTTGTTTAATTGGAGATAGTTCTGACACATCCAGTCATTGATTTGTTCAATGCACTTACTCAGTGTTTGAATTGGAGCATAGTCTCCTGGTGAAATTGTTATGTAAATGTGTGTGTCATCCGCATAGCTATGGTAACTTATTTTGTTGTTTTTCATTATCTGAGCCAGTGGTAGCATGTAGATGTTAAAGAGAAGAGGCCCCAAGATGGAGCCTTGAGGTACCCCACATGTCATATTTGTCAACTCAGATGTGTATTTACCTATAGGAACAACGTTGTTTTCTGTCCTTTAAGTAGGATTCAAACCAATTTAGAACTGTTGCCGAAAGTCCCACCCTGTTTTCTAGTCGGTCTAGTAATATGTTGTGGTCAACAGTGTCAAACGCAGCACTGAGATCTAATAATACTAACACTGAGGTTCTGCCACTGTCTGTGTTTAAGTGGATGTCATTGAAGACCTTTACAAGAGCAGTCTCAGTGCTGTGGTTAGGACGAAAGCCTGAATGGAAACACATCGAAACAGTTATTTAAATGCAAGAAATTACTCAACTGTTGAAAAACAACTTTTTCAATGATTTTACATAGAAATGGGAGGTTTGATATGGGCCTGTAATTGTTCATTACTGAAGCGTCTAGATTATTCTTTTTTAAGAGGGTTTAATGACTGCAGTTTTCAGGGCCTGTGGAAAAACACCTGAGTAAAGAGACTTGTTTACTATGTGAAGTAGATCTGAGGCCATGCAATGAAAAACATGTTTTAAAAATCCTGTTGGAATAATATCAAGGCAGCAAGAGGAGGATTTCAGAAGTTGTATAATGTCCTCTAGGTTTTTCTCATTAATCTGATGGAATTGAGTCATGGTGTTTGAATTGATATTAGGTGGACATAGGGACAACACATTTGCTGTACATGATACAGAGGCACTGACTGCTTGTCTGATGTTCTGAATTTTGTCAGTGAAGAAGGAGGCAAAGTCATTGCATGCCCTGGTGGATAGGAATTCAGAGGCTACTGACACTGGGGGGTTAGTTAGTCTGTCAACGGTAGCAAACAAGGCACGTGCAGTGTTTTTGGTATGATGTCAGAGAAGAAAGACTGTCGTGCGTTTTTCAATTCGAAATTATAAAGGCCAAGTCTCTCTTTATAGATTTCAAAATGAACCTGGAGATTTGTTTTTCGCCACCTACGTTCAGCTTTTCAACACTCTCTTTGTTCTGTTTTCACGGTCATGGCCTTTATCCATGAAGATATTTTCTTGCCAGTCACTTCCTTTACCTTAGTTGGAGCAATGGCATCTATAACATTTTTAATTATTTTAATTAAAATGATCTACTAGCTAATTTACTGAGATGTTAGCAGGGGCAAGTGAAAAATTCTGAGTAAACATTTCCCTAGTTTTTCAGTTAAATATCGCTTTGTGGTTACCTCTTTTTGAACATTTTTGTGAGCAGAAATAGAGCTCTCAAAGAAAACAGGAATGATCAGAGAGTGCAACATCAGTCACCACAACCTTAGAGATATTCAGACCCTTTGAGATAATTAAGTCCAGAGTGTGCCCCTTATTGTGCGTGGGCTCCGTCACATGCTGAGTCAGTCCATAGCTATCAAGAACACAAAACAGTTCTTTTTCCCCTCTGTCCTGGGGGTTGTCAACATGGATGTTAAAATCACCAACAATGACTAGACGGTCAAAGTCAATACACACTATAGACAGCAGTTCAGTAAAGTCATCAAAAAAGCTTGCACAGTATTTGGGTGGTCTATAGATATTTAGGAACAGAGCTCGAGAGGAGCATTTCAGCTGAAGGGCCACATATTCAAAAGAAGCAAACTTCCCATAAGATGTCTTCCGGTATTGAATGGAATCCTTGAACAAAATAGAAACTCCACCTCCTCTCTTATGCATTCTTTCCTGACTCATAAAACTAAAGTTGGGAGGGGTTGATTTGATAAGAACAGCTGCACTGTTATTTTGTTCAATCCAAGTTTCCGTTAAAAACATAAAATCGAGATTGTGCTCAGTGATAAAATCATTGATTAAAAATGTTTTTCCTGGCAAAGACCTGCCATTTAATAAAGCTAGTTTAAGTTTGTTAAATACACTATCAGTAAGATTTTCTTTTTGTGACAAGCTGTGGCTGACATGGAATCACTGCTAAATTTGATAAACTCACACAAACGTTTGAGCACTTCCTATTTCTAAGCTGATTCACCGCTCTTAATCTATTACCTATCAACACAGATATCGGCAAAGCTACAGGCAGGCAGGGCCCCGGCTTGAGCCTGGACCTAACACATATCAGTTAGAGTTTGTTGCGTTTTGTACACACACATCCTTATTACGGTGATGAAGATGGTGCGTGTCTCTGCTTCGCCGATTTTGGTGGGCGTCGTTGAAGGGTGGGGGTAAAGGACATGCTTTCTTGAAGGGGGGGAGGTGGTTGACGTAGGCAGGCTTCGGAGACCGCAGATGCCAGGGGGGGGGAGATGAGGAGATTGTAGGAGATTAAGTTAGCTTCATCATATCTCAATCAGTGATTAAGTGAATAATAAGTTTCTATCGGGTCACTATCAGCCTGTCACTCATTATTTTCAGGGGGGGGCGGGGTTTGGAGGAACGGAGAGGAGACGGTGATCGTGGAAGCTTTTTTCCTCCTGCCTTCACAAACTTTACACACGTACATATCGTCTGAAAATAGCAAGAGGACATTCATACTCTGCAATCCAAGACTTAATTAAATCCATGAAAAACCTGACATGATTGTAACGCGAGTATTTTTGAAAAACATAAATCCCTATGTGTCTGAGCCGCAGCGACACAGACTGATTCAGAGCGGGTCATTCTGCTGTTGCTTCTGGACTGTTGTTCTTGTGGTGGTGGATAAAGCAGACTGCTCCGTGTTTGGTGTTGCTGTGGCGCTGTCACGTCTGTTCCTTGATCTCTGCGTCAACGGCCAATTTGATATTAAAGTGACAGAAAACGTTTTTTATTGTAAAGCCGCGGACGGAAAATCAGGAAGCAACGTTACTACGCTATAATCGATTATGTTCCGTCACTGCATCGATGCAGAATCGTCCACGTCCGCATCGCGATACATTGTAGAAACGATGAATTTCAACACCCCTAATGTTTTATATCAGGGGTGCCCACACTTTTTCAGCTTGGGAACTACTTTTAAAATGACCAAGTCAAAATGATCTACCTACATTAAAAATGCTAAACATATATTTATTTATATATATATATACACTGAGCAGTGTTTCCCACGGAATTTGATTCTATTGGCGGACGATATTTAATTGTGGCGGCCCGCCACAAATGGACCGATGTATGGGAAACACTG